CAAAAAGAAACAACAAATATCAAAAAAACCATCCTCGGTTCTCAGTCCCAGACCTCCGACGTCGTGATCTTCCCGATCCCAGCGGTATTCTCCCTCATTCCGGCCTCCAGAGGGGCACCGGTCGGCATCATCTGCGGTCATCAGAAAACGGCCCGTTCTGGGAAACTACCTCGGAAAGGGTGGAGAAATTAAAGGGCCCCGCAAACGGCAGGGCCGTTTTTTCACCGTTTCCGAAAAAAGGCCCCTTGAAAATGGAAACGGCAAAAAAACGGCGACCAGAAACGGCAACAAAAACGGCTCCAGGATTGGAACCGGAGCGGGATCCCGTTAAAAAAGGGCGACGGAACCGGTAACAACAACGGCGTCGGAGCCGGCAACAAACACGGCAAAACGGAACCAGAAAAAAAAGCGGCCCCGTCGTTTCCCGTTTCCAGGGCCCACGAAGGTGGAGAACTCTGGGGCCAGTAGAGTGCACAGACCCAGACATCCCCATGCCTTGTTCTTGTTTAGAGGCCTCCTAGATGGGGTCGGAGCAGATGGGGTCGACGATACATCGTCGATGCATCGGTGATGCATCGGCGATGCACTGGCCATGCCTCATCGACGTTGGCGAAGCATCGGCGACGTCGACGTGACGCAAACCGGGCTGCACATCGAGCCGCATCGGCGACGCATCGGCGATGCGGCGCGATCCTCCGACCCCCATCTGCTCCGACCCCATCTGGGAGGCGCAGATTGTGTGTTTGTCCAGGGCGGGGCCCCCAGGAGGCACGGCGCCGCGCCCTGCAGGGCCCGCGCCTCCTCCTCCCGAGCGGCGTGCTGGCCGGTCCAGGGGCCCCACGGGGGCGAGGGCGAGGAGCACAACGCCCCCGCGTGTCGTTTTTTTTCCCAGGCGTCGGACGTCTGTGAAGGGGACCCAGGACACACAAATAAATACACACAAATAAAAATATTCCAAATATTTTCCGGTATTTTTGGGGGTTTTGTCTTCCCCCCTTCTTCCCATATTTTTGCACATTTTCGTGGGGATCGACGATTAATTGTCTCTGTGTGTTTCTTTCCCTCCAGAGTCTGGGAAATCCTGGCGCCGGAGCTCTGAAGCCCGGGAGCCCCCCGGGCGACTCGCGCAGACCCAGGTCAGCTCCGACTCCGTCCCAGGCCAGCCGAGGCAACGTCGCCGACGCACTGGCCAGCGGCGCAAGAGCCCCCAAGCCTGGTCGGCGAAGGCAGCGGGGAGGGGGTCATCTGCGCGTGGCCCCCCAAACCCGGGTTTTCAAGAGGAGGTCGGAGTGGACTGGCTGACCTCGGTTAGTAAGGCATGAAGGGAACTCGTGTCTGCCAGCGTGGACCCTAAACAGAGAGTCCAAGCTCTGTGCATGAATGTGCACTTCACGTGGTGCAACCACTGTGTGGTGTGAGCTTTCTGATAAACTCTACGTGGTGAGCGCGATGTTGTGCAAGCTGTGTGGTGTAAGCTGCTGGTGCTGGGCCGCGGCAGGACCACACAGAAGCGCGCAAGGCGCTACTATCGCATCGCGCTCGGCGATCGGGGGGCCCCTGTGGGCCCGCGCCAAAGGTCACTACGGCGAAGGGCCACTCTTACGTGCACGGCCAGACCCAGGACAGAAGAACATCCATCACGAACATGAGACCCTCCGCCGGCAAAAACACCCCAAACCATGAGAACACCGACGGTGCCCTCCCTCCAGGATGCACAAGAACATCCAACAAACACGAAGAACATGAGGGTACCCGTCGGTCGGAAGAAGTGGGCAGAAACATGAAATAGAACGGCGGATAAGGTAGATTAGGCTCAGACCCTCCCACAGAAGGAACAACACAACACGGGAAAAACATATCGGTTGTTGAAGCAGGGCAGGCGCTTGAAGCAGACTGGGACCTGGGAATCGTACCTACTTTCGACGACCAGCGTGAACCTCCCACGAACCGACCTCAATCTTCCCAGAGATCCGACGTCGTGTTTTTTCAATGCGGGGTCCCCGGAAGTCTCGATCCATTCCCCAGGAACCGTTTTCCATCCCGAGTCCTCTCTTGACGGCCCCGAGGCCCGGCGAGGGCCCCTGGAGGCCAAAAAATATGAAACAACTCGGTCTTGATTTTTGTCCGTGCGCAGGAACTGGTGCGGTGGAGGGGTCAGGACCAGGCGAAAAAGTATTGGAAGGGGCAAAGAGGATGAGAGGGGAGGGAGGAGGATTGGAGGGAGGGATTGGTGGCAACGGCTGGGCCACGAAGATGGAAGGATCTCCACCTCAACGGCCGAGTCGCCGCTGCTGTGCCGACGACGCATATCATCGGCCGGGCCCGCCCCAGCGCTTTTGGGGGGCGGGCTCCGGGCCGACGGGCAGCACCAAGAGAGCAGCGGGCGGAGGAGGCCCGCGGGCGCGGCAGCCTATCTATCGTCAGGTCGGGCATGTCCCCCTACAGGCGGATTTTGGACGAACAGCCAAAAAACATGCAAAAACAGACTAGTCTTTGGACTAGTATTTCGTGACGAGACATATCCAAATATTCCAAAAACGAATCAAGTAATCAAAGATTTGGGACGAGAATCTGGGACGAAAAGGATGATCAAACATGCTCAACAAAAATCGTCCCCAGAGTATTCTTGGACTGCTTCTGAATCTTCCTCCTGCTACAGGGACGTGCCCGACTTAAGCCCAGCGCCGAGAGGCGTCGGGCGCGCGCGGGGGGCGCAGATGGGGGGGGGGGAGGGGGGGGGTGGGGGGGGGCGACGCGCGGCGAAGGGGCAGCGAGGAGTCGAAGCCGGGGCGAAGGGCCGAAAGCAGGCGGACGTGGGGACGCGCCCAGAGATCCAGCGTACTTTGAATAACGCAAGACTGAGCTGTCTCGCAGTCTTCTTCGGCCTCTGGCACCCCTCACTGGGCCCCGCGGCCGTCAAGAAACGACTCGGGATGAAGAATCAGTCCTGGGGAGTGGGGCGAGACTTCTGGGGAACCCGTATTTCACAAATCACGACATCGGATCTCTGGGTGGAAGGAGGAGGAGACAGACAGACAGACAGACTTACAGACACACAGTCCCTGCTACACCTGCCGAAATGCTACACGTGCAAAGCTGACTCATGGCTGTGCGTGTGTGTGTGTGCACCGTGGTGATGGCTGTGCTCTGAACGGGGTGGCGAAGCACCCAAGCCAAATGTGCAGCCGCAGCCGCTCACTGGGAGGAGGCAAGAGGGGAATGGGCACGGAGAGGGGAGAAAAGGAAGGGAGGAGAATGAGGAGAACACTCCCCTCCTCCACATCCTCATATTAATCCCCCTCCTCCTCCACGTCTTCCTGAGGGGAAGGTGGGGAGGAAGAAAAAACGATAATAGCAATTCTACGAAGAAGTACAAGAAGAAGAAGAAAAAAGAGGAAGGGTCATGCTAATACGAATGCTACGACTCGTATGTTTTACTGGTGGTAAAGCTAAAACCAGCAATGATAGGAATAAAACCGGTGTGTGTGTGTGTGTGCGAAATCAACGGCCGTGGCACGCGGAGCGCGCCAGGCGATTCACAGCTGCGTTCACATGTCAGCCAGATCATCGCACAGCAATCACACAAACACAACATCGTTCACTCCTCATGCCAATATCATCGCATCACAGCCTCTGCGCGCACAACCAAAGCGTATCACACACACATCACAGCCCCTGCACGCAGGACTGCCTCACCGGGCCGATCTCGCAGAGAACATGTGGTCGTCTCTTTGTCGCCGGGCCTCTCCCTCCCTCCTCCCCCCTCCTCCTCCTCCCTCCTCCTTCCCCTCCTCGTCCTCCTTCCCCTCCTCCTCCTCCTCCTCCTCCTCCTCCTCCTCCTCCTCCTCCTCCTCCTCCTCCTCCTCCTCCTCCCTCCTCCCGTCTCACTCCTTCCCTCCTTCCGCCCGCCGACCCACGAACCCGTCCTCCAGCCTCCAATTGAAAACCCTCCGCACTCGCCCGCGCTCCTCTCATCGGATGCCTCCGGCACTAGTCCCCAGAGGCCTCCGCTCGAATTTGACATCCTCCTCATCCTCATCCTCCTTCTCCCTCTCCTCATCCTCCTCCTCCTCCTCCCTCCTCCTCCTCCTCATCCTCCTCCTTTCTCTTGGCTGCGTGGGTTCCTCAGAGATGGGCCTCCTCTGCAGAACTGCGAAATCCCCAAGACCCGAGAGAGTTGAATGTAGTATTCAACTCCCCCTTTCAACTCCCGAAGCGTGAAACACGTTAGTTCTTCAAGTCGAAAGTAAGGCGCCCCGTCGGTGATGGATCCAGAATGTATCTGCCAGAGGTTATCTTGAAGCCATCTCGGCGTCCCCCGAAGTTGTCCTTATTCAAACATGTGGGAGGAGTAGATGTCAGATGAGGTGCAGGCGGGCAGTTTGCCACGACCGACATTACCTCGCCCGTGTGGAGGCCCACCCATCAAGTTGACCACCCCAATTTGGAAGCGAAGCGCGGATCGCACTTGTTTACTCTCCGCCCTATTCTCTGCCCCCTCTATCTACCTCTTGGCCCCTGGTCCTCCCTCCCTGTCTCTCCTGCCTATATCATCGTCCCACTCGTCGTCTGCTTTGGCGCTCTCTGACTGTGCCCCTCTTCCTGAGAACGGTGCCGAGACCGATGCTGTTTGTTGCGCATCTTGAGTCTTTTCATTGTAGTGTGCCGTTCTCGCCGCACGTGCGGTTCAGATCAGGATTCGTGCAGCGTGGACCCCAAACAGATGAGTTAAGGTGGTTCGGTGCGCAAGGCGTCGCCACTAGAACGCGCAATTGCGCAACATGTCGAAAGCACTGTTTGGGGAACATGGCCTTATCCAGAGACCCCCACCATCACCACCATTAAAACAAGCCCACAAGTGGCCGTCACTACCCCAAACCATTATCCCCCAACCAAAACCCCGCGTAGATAGGAAACCTATAGCCATCACTGCGCATCATCCCCCCAAACATCGCCATCAGCATCGTGATAGCCATTTTGGCCAAGTTGTTTCTCTCAGAATGAGAGCATCGATGATGCAATCAGCTTCCATATTCGCGGTGGTTGCCACCGCCGCCTTCCATATCGTTCGTGCCTCTGGCTTGCGGGTGCCCGTGGTCGAGGCTTTCCACGTTGAGGCTGGCATGGAGCACCTGAGCGACATGCTGGCCGACATCGGGACCATCGACGATTCGAGCGATGGCGGCGAGGTGGCTCCACGGACACCAGTTCATGTGGCAGCCCAGCAGGTTCCATCGCCGCCAGGGCCGATTGAGCAGCAGGTTCCTTTGTCGCCAGGGTCAGTTGAGCAGCAGGTTCCATCGTCGCGAGGGCCAGTTGAGCAGCCAGTTCTACCAGGGCCAGTTGAGCAGCAGGTTCCATTGCGTCCAGGGCCAGTTGAGCAGCAGGTTCCGCCAGGGCCAGTTGAGCTGTGCGACGTGCTAGCGCTCGGGGTCATCGAGATCGACGACTCGCCTCCAGAGAAGTCGAAGCACTCGCAGCGGTCTCATGCTCACGCAGCGCAGGCTCGGGAGGGCAAGGCCAAAAAACACGCGCAGAAGCTGAGGGGCCAGCTGGCGAAGCAGAAAGCGGAACACGATATGAAGCTCAAGAGCGTGGCGTTGGTTCCGGGTGTATCACAGCTCATTGGGAACAAGTCGTCGACGACGCTCGGGAAGCTCAAGCGACACTTGACCAGCGACGACTTCGTGATTGCATCGAGGGCGTGCTTTTTACCTTCCAAGAAGCAGTGCGCCATTGGAGTGGACCATCGTCGCTTGATGAAGGCTGCTTGCGACATCGCGGTCACCAGACAACTGCAAGGTTTCAGGGACAGTCTCAAGAGAAGCCGTGATTCTATTACAGATGCCGATACTCGCGATCACCGTTTCGTACACCTGGGTTTCGGACATCTATGGGATGAAGTTGAAGTGCGACAAGCATGGAAGCCTGGGAAGCGCTACCGCGTCATGAGAAAGAACGTGGCGCAGCCAACGCTCATCCAGAGATCGACGGCGCAGTTCACGCTCCTCAACAGAAAGTCGGACATCCAAGGCCACTTCATCGAGTACATGATCGCAAAGCCGTTCGAGCTGCAAGGCCAGAAGGCGAAGCACATTTACCCTGGGCTGTTGAAGGCCATTCCAGACGAGCTCAACATCGTGAAGTGGTCGGAGGGCAGCGCACCAGCTTCGTCTGCTGTATCTACGTTCACGTTCCAGCCCATGGCAGACAGAGCCAGCGCCAACCTCAGCATCCTCAAAATGCGGGGTCAGTGTGCTGAGGACATCCTGAAGGAGCGCAAAGAATCGACTACTTGTTTTTTTTTGGCCAGATACGTGTGGCATACACGCGCACCACAGGGGGAAGCTGAAGCTCAAGGCCGTCAAGAAGCATACGATGAGACATTTCTCCATCGCCAGTGCCAACAGGTACCGCACCCAGCTCGAGCGGAACATCATGGGAGTTGAGCTCTTGGTCGAGAGCAACGTCGATTGCATCATGCAGCCGCCCCCTGAGGATGTCGAGTACACGTTCCAGCTCGTGGTTGATGTTCTGTTTGACTTGTCGGCTGACTTTCACCTGCGGAAGGGCGGCGCAGATGACTCCCAGTTCATCAAGGACCTGAAAGCGTTGATGCCTTTGCTGAATGGCGACATGCGTGGCGAGAGGATCAAGCACTACTGCCGTCATCCTCAGACTGGTCGCCCGTGTTGCAACGGCAAGTCCGACACGATCGACAAACTGTGCACAGGACTGGTTCATGCTTTATTCGGGTCGTCGGACCCTCGGCCTTGTGAAAGTCGCTGGACAAATGTGTTGATGAATATGAAGAGGACTCTCTTGCGGCGTTTGGTCTACAAGATAGGGATCGACAGCTTCGTCGGACATCCAGACGCTCGGGGTGTTGTTGATGCTGACGAAGAGGAGGTGCCCCTACTCCGAGAAGTTGATGGCATGTCAGATGCGGATTACTGGAAGCATGTGTTCAATGTGAGGGCGAAGAAGATCAAGGCCTACTACGGTGATGAGCGAAATTTCTGGGAACTCATGGTGTTCGTGGGGATATTTGAAGCGTGCGATTCTACGCTATTGTACCCCCTGCTCGGCGATCCGATTGTCAACAGCAAGAGGGACGACCAGCGGTCGAAGATGGATATTCTACTGGACAAGGGCGACACCGCCATAGGCAAGTTCAGCCAGAAGATGCTCGATTTGGCAGACTCGTGGATGGGCCTGCCCACGCGGAAGCCCTGGTGCCTTCTCGACATGCTGGGGGCGCCTTTGACAGATCAGACTTTCTCGCGGTTTGCACGTTCTCAGCTTCTCAAACTCAACAGCGTGATGCTCAGGAGGTACGAATCCAGGTTCTCGGCTTACCCTTATCGCTTGTACCCGTTGGCCAGCAGCACGGCGTCGCTCGAGGAAGCGCAGAGGATTGCTCACGATGCCATCAACGCGCCGTGGCACATGAAGGACTCCTACACCAAGGGCATCACCAGCCATTTCAACACCGTGGGGAAGATGCTCTCCAGCGAATGCATCGCAGTGCTCTTTGCAGATTTCCGCCAGCATGCGTACGGGACCGACTTCATCGAGCGACTCAACAGCGAGTACACGGCGAAGATCCCAGTTCGAGCTCAAGGTCGTAGCAGTTCAAACGCTCAGCGAGAACATCTCCTACAGCAGCTCTGCACAGTTCATCGTGGGCATGGCGGGCTCCATCCACTAAAGACAGGGTGCCTCAGCAATGACGTCAAGGAGGAGATCGTGATGGCATCGCCTCTGCTGGAAGATTCACTCAAGCGACATTCTAACTGGCTTAGGGGTGAACGACGGCATGGAGATCTAACTGCGCTTGAAGATGGTGACCCTGACCATCAACCTGCCCAAGCTGACGATCAGGAGTTGGCCATTTGTCTTGCTCAGGAGCCGTCTGCATACTTCGAGGGGTTGCATGATGACTGGGGTTGTGAAGTGCTTGCGCGGAGGCCGAACCCATCGAGCTTATCTCGTGGCAAGGAGGTGCCAGCGTCACCGACTAAGGATGAGGCGCCTCGCAAGGGGCTCAGCGCGTACATGCTCGAGAAGAACAAGTACATGAAGGCGATCAAAGCCGTGGTAGGGCGCAGGCTCACCAGGGACGAGACCACCAGTCATGCGGAGACGTTCAAGCATATGGTCGCCGACTGCAACCAGGATGCTCTCAAGGATGCGTACGACCTTTGGAGACAAAGCCCCAGCGAGAACAAGGCCCTGGAAGTGCCGACCTACAGACCTATCTGGGGTGGTGGATGCAACGCGCTGCCCATCACGGGTGATGAGTTCTGCAATTACATCACCGCTAACGGCTGGCCGTCCTACCAGGAGGTGTTCGACGATTCGCTTGAGGAAAGGATGGCCCAGGTCGACGAGTCTATCGATTTCGAGCTCTTCAAGAACGTCGACCTGTGGGGAGTCCCAAGGGGGGCCAGGAATGTCGACCGCGCGGCTTCGAGGGCACCCCACGCGTTCGAGTTCGTGGAGAAGGGGATCATGAGCTACATGACGTACATCGGCACGCAGAAGGCGGAGGAGGGCGACACCATGCTCATGGTCGAAGGCCCTGGCGTTCGTGGTGGTCGTTGGAGGTGTGCCGTCATTGTGAGCGACATCACGTGGAACCCAAGAGTTTTCGACATCACCTGGAACAACTGGGTCATCGAGAGCAACGAGAGGTCCGAGGACGTGGGCTCGAGCGAACGCACGGCCCCCGTAAAGGTTTCGGGGGCGAGGGTAAGGCTAAGAACGTCCAGGGTATACGAGGCCCACGCACGAGGCCGATCGTCCTTCGAACGCCCGATCCCTCACCCTCTGTTCCAGTGTCAAAACATTGTTTGGGCCAGGTTTTGTTTGAAGATGGGGAGGTGTTCTCATCAATCCTAGCCTTACCCTTCGCCCCCCGAAGGACTTGGTGCTGCCTTGCTGGGTGAGGATCGCCGATCGCAGCAACAAGGTGTCGGAGCGCTTCAAGGCTATCGATTCCATGACGTCGGACGTGTGGATCGACAAGCTAGTGACTGAGCTCGAGAGCATGACGGTCTACGAGGCAGAGTACGAGATCGACCATGCGTGGGGCAGTCTGCGCTTATCCAAGATTGTTGGCCTCAAGAGGTTGGGCATTCTCTGGGAGCCATCGATGACGAAACCTTTGAGCTTCGCAGCAGCCACGGTCGACGCCGACAAGGTGGTCAAGGACACCATCATCGCTTCCGACCCCTTCAGCGAGGGCGCGCTCGTGGCCCGAGGTCGCGGTCGTGGTCGCTGCGCGAGCCGAGGCTCTAGCCGAGGCGGTCGCCGAGGCAAGGGCAGTCGAGGCAGGGGCAGGGAGAGTGGCATCGCAGCAGTTGGCGCCATTGCCGATGCCGATGACCCCAGCGCCGCTCCACCAGAGGTGCGCGCAGACGGCGTGCCTGACGATGATGGTCGCGAGCCTGCAGGTGGAGGTCACGAGGTGGAGCGCGAGATGGATCTTGCAGATGACTTGGAGTCCGTGACGTCCGTGGAGGAGATGGAGGATGCGTTCTCCGAGATGCCAGCCCAGTTGGAGGCGCCAGTCATGCCGCCGCCAGCCGATGACTATCGAGAAGTCAAGCAGCCAGAGCCTGACGACGAGGGCGACGCCGACTTCATCGGGATGGCTGCTGAGCACGTGAGCGAGGCGGCTGCTGAGCCCGACGCTGCTGCTCCTCCGAAGCTCGACGGCGGCGAAGGCGAGACACCACCTCACGACGACGCGGACGCGTCGGAGTCGAAGCCGTGGCAGGAGTTCTCGCCGAAGACGCCACAGGACTACTACTACCTCGGCGGCCGCCAGGTGTGCCGCATCCAGCGCGGCAAGCCGAAGAACTCTATCACGATCACGTGCTACTTCCACAGCGGTTGCTCGCTGTGCGTGACTGAGCGCCTCGGCCCGAAGACAGACGAGGAGGTGTTCAGGTGGCTGTACAGCGTGCCTGAGACGCCCGCGGGCGCAGACGCGGCCAAGCGCAAGGAGCTGTCTGCTGCGCATCGGGCCCTGGGCAAGGGCCAGTGGGCGGCGAAGCGCCCCGCCAGGTAGGGCAGCCTCGCCCCACTCTCCATCACCACTCAGAGGATCCCGAGGCATCTTGCATTCATCCCCATCTCACCTTCACCGTGACATCCACTTCACTCCCCTCCCCCATCCCCCCTGACCCTGGGAGGGGGAGGGGTCGGGGATAGGGGGCAACGCCTTAGTACCCACCCCCCACCTTACAACCGCGCTCCCCGCTCGCCAATTTCCTTCCTGCTCAACTCCCTTCTCTTCTGGGACCAACGCACACCGCTCGTCCTTCCCCGTCTCCGCCCGTCCTTGGTGGCTGGCGCGGTGCGTGTGCTCGAGGCCCCCTTGCCTTTGGGCACTCGAGCGAAACTGTGGCGTTCCGCCTCATCGTCAGAAACGCGGCATCTTGTTTTAAGAGAGGTTGGAGTCGGTTGGAGGATCGATGTTTGGGTTGACAATGTGATTTCCAAAACATGTGGTGTGGCATGTTGATTTTTTCAGAGGTCGGTTGAGAACATCTGGATGGGGCGGCGGTGGCAACAACCACAAGGCATACTAGAGCTAGATGGGATAGGATGACGCAGGTAAGAGGAAGAGGAGAGGAGAGGAGAGGAGAGGAGAGGAGAGGAGTTGAGAGGAGGAAGAGGAGGAAGAGGAGAAGAGAGGGAGAGGTAAAAGTAGAGGAAGAGGAGAGGAGAGGAGAGGAGAGGGGGGGCAGGAAAGGAGGAGAGGAGAGGAGGACAGAACAGGAGAGAAGGACAGGACACGAAACCAAACGGGAGGGAGGAGATGGTGGAGGGGGCAGGGAAGAAGGAGGAAGAGGAGGAGGAACCAGGATGATGGAGGATCCGCCGCCCTCTGCCGCCCCCCCCTTGCCGCCCCGACCTCAACAACTTCGAGGCCCCCGCAGCGCGCTTGCTCCGCGAGCGTGCTGGCGAGAGGAGGGGGAGGAAGGGAAAGGACGAGGAGAGAAATGAGGGTCGTAATCGTAGTCCGTCGTCGTCTCTGTCATCGCCGTCGTAGACGTCGTAGTCGTAGTCGTAGTCGTGGTAGTCGTCGTTGTCGTCCTCGTAGTCGCAGCCGTCGTCGTAGTAGCTGCCGTAGTCGTAGTCGTGGTAATAAGACAGGCAGCAGCAGCATATCAGAAACAGCAGCAGCAGCAACAACAATAGTAGCATTCGTAGTGGCAGCAGTAGTGGTACACGTATACGTATACGTAGAAGTAGAAGAATAAGTAGAAGTGGAAATATGATTAACAGTAGTAGTAACAGAGCAGCAGTAGTAGTAGTAGTAGTAGTAGTAGTAGTAGTAGTGGTAGTAGTAGTAGTAGTAGTAGTAACAATAGCCGTAACAGTAGACGCAACACTGACAATTGCAAGATCAGCAACAGTAACACTAGTAGTAGCAGGAGTGCATGCCGGAATCATCAGTCGCAGTTGTAGCAGCCATAGTAGCAGTAGTAATAACAGCAGGGGTAACAATAGCAGCAGTAGTATTAGTATTAGTCAGGATCAGCAGCATCAACCATTCAAATCGTAGTACTTCTGTAGCAGTACAGGTGCCATCATGACAGGTAGTGCAGGGGTCTAGTTTACAGAGTGCGCTTACGTATTTGTAAACATGTACTTGTGCAAAGCAAAAGTAAAGATATCAGCTTCAATGCATCATGGGTAGTGGCAGTAGTAGCAGTAACATTATACAGTATCAGTAGCAGTGTTAGCAGTGGTAGTAGTATTCGTAGTAGTAGCAGTAACGGTAATAGTAGTAGCCGCAGCAGCGGCACTCGCATTACTGGTAGCATTCGTAGTAATAGTGCATAGTGTAGCCGCAGCGCTAGCATTAGTAATCGAAGTGGTAACAGCAGAAGGATAATTAATACGAGTAGTAGTAGTAGTAGTCGTAGCAGTAGTAGTAGTAGTAGCAGCAGTAGTAGTAGTAGTAGTAGTAGTAGTAGTAGTAGTAGTAGTAGCAGTATGAGTAGTATGAGTACCCGTACAAATAGTAGTAGTGGTAGTCGGGGTAGTAGCAGTAACAGCAGCAGTAGTAGTAGTAGTAGTAGTAGTAGTGGTAGTAGTGGTAATAGTCGTAGTAGTAGTAGTAGTAGTAGTAGTAATAGTAGTAGTAGTAGTAGTAGTAGTAGTGGCAGTAGTAGTAGTAGTAATTAGTATTCGTATTGGCAGTAGTAGTAGAGTAGTAGTGTAGAGTAGATATAGAACACATCACCGTAAGTAGCAGTGGTACAGCCGTCGTATAGTAAGTAGTAGTAGTCGTAGTAGTAGTAGTAGTAGTAGGTATGAAGTAGTAGTACTACTAAGTAGTATTCGTAGTAAAGTAGTAGGATAGTAGTAGTAGTAGTAGTAGTAGTAGTAGTAGTAATAGTCATAGTAATAGTAGTAGTAGTAGCAATAATACGTTTGGTAATGGCGGTGGTGGTGGTTGTAGCCGTAATAATTGCAGTAGCAGTAGCAATAGTCAGAATACCAGTCGCACCAGTAGTAGTAACAGCGGCAGCGGTAGTAGTAGAGGTAACCCTTGTAGCAACCATAAGCATGACTACTACCCGCCTTTCTTGGTGGCGTAGGTAGTCGCAGTAACACCCGTCGCCGAACTAGTCGCATACATTGTAGCAGTACGAGCAGCCGCACCAGTA